TGGCATGCAAAATATGATTATTTCCACCACTGTAATGATCACTGATCTTAAAATTTATATAGGTATTGAAGTCCGTTCTATATTTTGCTGAACTGTGAAGTAAATGGAGTTCTCTCTCAAATTTAAGTGTCACATGTAAATCAGGGTTTCTTAGGTCTTTTATTGTTTTTAAATGTCTCTTTTGTTATATAAAAATTAAATACTACTTAGTTTAGAATACTGGGATCGAGACAAAGCAGTGCCTACATTCCCAGTGCAGATGTGAGACTGGAAGCAGACCTGTGTTCTTGGGCTTGTGATTATCCCGGTGCTTCAGTGTGGTGCCTTTACACCTTTTGTATGTTTCATGAAAGCATTTCCAAACACGGTTTTTAAACTCCTCAATAATTTACCAGTTAAAAATAGCTCAGTAATTTTAGGGTAGTGTTGTTTTCAGCAAAGCTGAGCTCTGCTGCTTATTAGCCTTGAGCAAACTGCAAATCTCTGCTTGCCTCAGTTTCCCCCACAGGCAGAAGGAGGTATAATAACCACCTTGGAGCTGTTTAGAGCCACTAATGGAAAGTTTTTTCTAAGAATAAATTGCTTTAATTATTATTGCTATTATTAATATACCTATTCTGTACGTTTTAAAGCGTAGGGTGATACCACGTCACTGAGGCTCCATGTCTTCTCATGGCAAAGATGCTGATGACCACCAAAATTAGTCTTTTAATTTGGAAGTTATTTCAGTCAGGATAATCCTCGGGAGATTTTGCCACTACTTGCAGAGAAAATATAGCAAAGTTTAAATCCTATCCCGAAGGCTGAGATTCATCTTGCTGGACTTCAACTGTCTGAAAGCTAGGTGCCTTGTCTAAGGGGGTTGTCTGAGCACTTCCTGCTTACTGGGGAATAAGGGAGATGAGGATGCTCCAGGCTGCAGTTTCCAGTCTGGGATTACCTAACCCTGAAGTTCCTCTCTCAGACTACAGTGGGAGGGAGTGTCAGTGATGAGCATGGCGCTAGATGCCTAAATTTAAGAAAGCTAAAGAGAAATAATGAGCTAAAAGGCTAAATTCAGGGTTTGCTAGCTACTGTCTTTTGTTTCCTGTTATGAAGTACTGCTGTGCATTGATACAAAGCTGTTGCAGCACAAAGGTACGGTGCTTCTACAGGATCACTGCTTTTAACCTACAGCTGAAATTTTACTGTTGATTCCTCCTTTTTGCTTGTGCTGCCATTATAATGAGCTAAGGGATAATAGGAGTGTGGATCTTACAGCAGTTCAGACTGAATGTTGAGATGTGGCTCAATGAAAAGCATGGGAATGTCTAGCAGAGAAGAAATAACTGAATTTCCTACATGGCAAGCTTTAAAGATATTGTTAGACCTGGGGTTTTGCACACATGGCTTCTGACGCAGTTGTCCTGAGTGGAGTTAGTTTTGATGAGCTGTGTAAATTAACGGAGAGTTTGACACTTGGAAATGCTGTCCTCGTGGTGACCTCTGCCTCTGAATTCTTTAAAAGAAAAGTAAGAAAAGCAGTCTCTCCTCCCCCTGTTAACATTAAATGTCAACAGCTGTATTTTTCTTCTGGTACTTATTAACTTTTCAGCCTTGCCTTTTTCAAGTGTTTGTTGCTTTAGAAATGAAATAAAGCTTATCACCAGGGAAATGTAAGTCTTCCAGCTGCCTTGACTTCTCAAAAGAAGCAATTTCTGTTAAATAGATTGTTTAAATTACTGATCAGAGAGCCTCCTAATTGTGCTACATTAAATTTTGATTCTGGCATGGTTTGTTTTGGTATCTGCTTTTCTATCTGTTGAAATCCTGTGACAGTCGGTAATTAGGAGGAGTAGCTCTCATGTAAAGAAAAGATGATAAGGTACAACTGTGGTTGTAGTTAATCCTTAAGTTTCTTTATTTTTTTCCCCTCAATTGTTAACCTGAAAGCATTTTTTTTCCACTTATTTCTTAGCTGAGGCCAATTGTCCTTATTTCTTGGTACCACACATTCACTTTGCATCACATCATAGAATGGTCACATATTTGGCTAGGGAAATATTATTTATTTCCAAATTTAACCCCTCCTAACCCATCCTTTTAGCACTGAAAATGAAACAGGCCTTTGGAAATGGGGGGTTAAGATTTTTTTATGTGCCTTTGCTGCAGCTTTCATCTAGTTGTAGTTGTTTACAACTTACTTATTCTTTTGTTTATTGTTTGGGTTGCTTTAAACACATACATGTATTTATTGCTCATTTCTTCTGTTACACATGCTGGTAATCCTAGGATTTATTGCAGTGTCGAGGCCATTTTTTTGTCCTCATTGGTCATTTACTGGTGATAGGTATGGATAACCCTCGTGTCAGAAGCCTTTCATTTCCAGATCTGATCCTGAAATGCAAGGCTGAGAAAAGCAGAAATAGGCCTCTGCTGTGATTTCTTTACAAATAAGGAGTTTGGTTTTTCAGTATGGTTAAATTGGTGGCTATTGCACTGACAAGTATGAAAGTACAGTGTGTAAATTATATTAAAAGTATTTCTGTCTGTTTGATGTGTAATAAATTTAAGCTAAGTTATAAGGTGTGCTGTTTGGAAGTGTGGAAGATACAGGAGTGGAGCTACAGATAACAAGTTTATGCTTGTATTTCCTACTGATGAAGACTTTCACACAAGTTATTTCTATGGGTAGGTGATGAGAATATCACTCTGCATGTATATACATTTATTATACATTTTTGCATGATTATACATGTAGGAGTGGTACAATTTTGACTTGAGACTATTGGTGTCTTTTGTCCAGATATAATTTCACTTGTGTAGACATGTCTATCTAAAATCAAATTTTTGCTTCTGCTTTTAAAGATCTCAGTCAGAAGCAAGAGAAACAAAGACCTGAAGTAACAGTAAATAGCTCCTGAAATCTTAGATAACCTATTGAAAAAATGGTCATATAGTCAATATTGTACTTGACCCTCGTATCTTCTGCACTCAACTGTTTATTTTTATAGATCCCATTATATATGTTCATGATGAACTTTGATTATACAGCTGAAAGAAACATGCTTCTCATGATTCAGTCCAGTTCTTGCTTTCTGCATGTAATTTAATCATCAGCTGTCATAAATAATTAACTGAACATCAGCCAGCTTAATTTTGAACTTCGTGTTACATTATTTTGTAATTGCCTTTTGAAAAGACAAATGTTGCCTTTCAGTTAATTATCAGGACTTCTTTTTCAGTCATAATCATCAGCATTTCATCTTGTGAACAGTTTGGTCTTTTAATACATTGGTATTTAACTACCCATTTATTTTTGTTTGGTCTGTTTTAAGTTTGTAATATAGCATTGTTATGGAATTGTTGTGTTGGAGGCAGGTCTGATTGGAAATATTTTGTGAATTTCTTCATACCTTGTTGCAAAACTGATCTTTAGTATGATTTAAGCAATACGGTCACTCTTTAATGAAGTCTGTTGCTAAGCACAAAATAGGCATTTCTTAAAATAGGGGGTGTTGAATTATGTTTCAGGGACCAAGTTACAAAAAAACTCCAAACCAACCAAAAAAACCCACAAGCAGACAAACCCACCCTAAAAACCTCAGTGGAAACAGCCTTTCAGAGGAATAAATTTGAAACTTTTAAATCATCGTATTCTTTTCTGTCTTCAACAGCCACTTAACACTCCTAAAAGAAGCTAATCTTTCTGAAAAGTTTTTTCATTTTATTATTTGTGACTTTTAAAGATTTCTTTAGTCATTCTGTAACTCTGCAGTTCCTATCATCCTAAACACATTACTAGTTTATGGTTATTTTGCATTATTCCATGCAGATTACACTGTCTGTGTTTCATACCCGTAACAAAAGTGTCCTGCAGACCCTCAGCTGCTAGAACTTCCTTACAGTTAAAGAACTGCAGTGGCAAACCTGCTGAGCTCTGACCCAGCCTGTGTTTCTATTTCATACTCATTTTTGTGGATGAAGTCTTGGCCCAAAAGAAAGTTTTGATTCTCTCATTTGGGGAGTGGGAACTTCAACCACTTTCGTCCAATCTTAGTTGATAAGCTGTTGCTGAGACAAGGCATTCGAGTTAAAATATGCATCCTTTCAGAATTGCAGCATTCATTCATTCCCTCTGCTTCCATATTAATCTTTGTCTTGAATTTGACTTTTCTGAGCCTCTTGTGTTTGCAGCATGCTTTCCAGTTAGGATTTTCATTCCTCATAAAGAAGATAGTCCATCTTAGCAAAATAGACCAAAAATAGATTAAATAGCTTTTTTATTATTCTTCAAGAATAGATTTCATGTTAGCAGCTTTCTCTCCTGCTTCTCCCCTTCACTTTGGTGGCAAAAAATATATATGGTAATCATATTGAATTAAAAGCATATTTATCACTGCACATTATAGTTTTGTTTCTTGCTATTCTTGATCTCAAAAAAAAAAAACCAGCAGCAAAAACCTTTGCATTTTGAAAAACTCCCCTGCCATTAGCAGGTAAATATTATGAAAGGGAAGTTGCCTAATGTTATTGTCACTGGGTCATTTATATCAAAAATTTAGTTTTATTCAACAAACCCTAAAGTAATGTAAGCTGTCACTTGAGTTCTGTAAAATCCTCTAGATAAATATTTTGTCTTGCCAAATTTTATGTCCTGTAACTTAATTATTTTTATATTTGAAACTGAAGGTTTTATCCTTTTAGTACTGTAAATTTAACGTTGTCAGATACGGAGATGTTTATGTGTTAATGTAAAAAAGATAATACACAAATTACTGATACATTGATAAACATGGTTTTCTTACATTTGTGTTTTCTGTCTATGAAAGGTTAAAATGTCTCTGTAATCTCAGACTATATTCATTAAATGAAATGTTAAGAATTCATAAAATTTATAGTTCTATAAGAGATTCATGTAGGGGAAGGCATCAGTCCTTCAACAAAACTTTTGCAGTTTTAAAGGTTTCTTTCACAGTATGCCTACTTCTAATCCATGTTGTTTTTCTCTTCTTCTGCAGATGGACCTCCTGTCATACCTCATTATGATATATCAGACACAAATTCAGACTCAGAAGTGGTAAATGTGGATAACCTGTTGGCAGCTGCAGTAGTTCAAGAGCACAGTAATTCCTTAGGAAATCAAGACTCAGGATCTGCCTGGAGAACCAGAGGGCTGCTAGATGAACTGAGTGGTGATACAGGTTTGTTTAAATTCTTTTCCTCTGACATTTTTTCCAGCATCTCAGTTGGTGTCTCTTCATTTCCTGCTTTTCAGTATTTTCATAGTTTATGAAGCTTGAAAAGCTCCTTGTGTGGATTTTGCAGTAAAACAATACAGGTGCTTATTAAAAATGCCTGACATTTATTCTAAAATACAAACAATAAAAATAGGCAAAGGTTGCTGCAATGTATTGCTAACAGTAGTTTTCTTCATTATTTTTTTCTTTCTTTTCCCTCTAATTACTTCTTGGAACTTAGGTCTTGTGGACTTGGCGGTTTTGTAATTTAAAGTGAGCTCAGCTTGTTATTGAATAATTGATTATGATGACCTGTGCCATCAGTTAGGAAACCGAACATAACGTCATTTTAAGTATTGCAATTTTGTATGTCTTTCTTCTTTGTATCTTTATTTCTTTGAAATGCAAGCATTAATCATTCCCATATTCCATCTGGATTTCTAACGTAGCTTAGAAAATTGGACAGATCATCAGCAGATAAAGATGAAGGGTGGAAAGATGTTGGTAAATGGGTTTAGCATCAACAGACAGCAAAGAAGTTTCTTTCAGGAGAGCAAGAGCAGAAATACTATGGGGGAATTCAGAGGAGTTCATGTAGCTTGTAAAAATTGTTCAGTTTCCATTGCTGCCTGCAACTCTTCCCTAACAAAAGAATTAAACCACAGGATTAAATGTTGCTGTGTTCTGCATGCATACAGCTAACGGTGTACTTCCTATCAACTTCATCCTCTAGTTTTATATGCTAACATACTGCCTTCCTTTCCACTCATGGTTTTAATACCCATGTCAAGATTTTTAGCTGCGAAAGACATAGAGTATTGCCTGCAGTGCTGGAGCATAGCAGAGTTTTCTTTCATGCTATGTTTTCCAAATGTAAGCCAGCCAAAGGGTACCTGCATTGAAAGTGTCCTGATGGCTCTTAGGTACTTCTCAATGTCTATAAAGTTTAAAGAACTACAAGCGTGTGGCTGATTTGGAAAAAGATCTTCCATTATTATCGAGTGGACAAGTCTATTATTTGAATATGAGAGTCTGTCGCATTTTCACTGTGATCTGTAGCTGGACGTTGTGGCTTTTGTAAGATAGCTGGTTTTACAAGCTCATTGGTATTGTTTGAAGGGTATCAGCTGACTGATGCATAGCTGTTTGACCCCTAAAAAGCCAACTCCTTTATTAAGTGATTTATTAGACATTAGAACACCTAAAATTAGCTTTAGCACTAATAGATTGGCACTTCAGAGGAGCCTAAGTTTCTTACGAAGCTTTGTTCCACTTTCTGCTTATGAGTACAGTGCTGCAATGCAGCTGGAGATCTGTCTTTCTTCCTCCACCTATATCCATGGGGACTTGCAAGGAGAATGTTGCCAGGTAAAAGAAAACTTCAAGAAACTTCATCATCCCTGGTTCTATGGGAATGTGTCCGTACAGATTTGCTTCTAGTGCTGTGGCCATCTCAATGTCTGAAAGAATTAATCTCTTTTCTCTTCCTTCATACACCTTGCCCCAGAGCCTTGTAGCCTCGGTGCACTTGTGACTGTGCGTTTGTCAGTACTGGCCTTTTCTGACCATGTCTAGGATTGCACATTTGGAAAGGAGAGTTTTCAACACTTGCATCTCATTCACAGCTATAATCTTCAGCCAGTATCTAATTTAACAGACATTAAATGGGAATTTAATTTCCTGTGTTCCCATGGGAAAATAACAACATAAGCCTTATTTCAGTGAAAAATCTTACTAAGACACACTATCACATCTTTGTGCATGGGCAAATATTTTGGGCCATTTTGCAAGAACTGATATTGCAGGGCAAACAAAACGTCTCCTTTGGGCATCATCCTCATGATCCTGCAAAGAAATTAACAGCATAGGCATGTTATTAGGCATGAAATTTCTATGGCCAGAGTCTGTAAATACATCTGTGTGCTATAATCCTGATTTACCCTCAGCTACTCTCGCAGTATTTACTCTGCTAATCATAGTTTCTCTACTGCTAATTACATTTTTGTTGTCTGAGCTTAAAGCTATGGCAATATGTGAAAGCTGTGTTGGAAATCCCATTTATACCTCTGGGGATTTATTTTGGGGTTATTTAGTCTGCTTTGTCTCTCTGCCAGACATTACCCTGTCTAGGAAAGGATGCAGAATGGTGTTACATCATTAGCACATTCATAAAACATATTAAGGCAAGTTGATATCTGTACCAGCTTGCATGATTTGGTGACCAAGGACCAAGAAAAGCCACACAAGGGTTGTGTTACTCTCATGCTGCCTGTGCTGTAGCAGCAGTGATGTTCAGTCACAGGGTGATGATCACATAGATCTCGCAGTTCATGAATCAAATGAACATGAATCAAAGCCTCTGAGCGCTTCCATTTTATGTTTCACAGTGTGCCCAGTCACTTCTATTAAAGCAAGATCCGTGACCCATTTTGGGACTTTCTGGAAGTCAGTGGTAATTGTCAGTTGTTCAGCTAAAATTTGATGTTAGAAAAGGTCTCCTGTGCTGTTACTTCACTTTAAGCTGACACATCTTTTTTTTCTTGAGGTGGAAACTCCTCCTGTGGGTACATGGTAGCACACAGGTTTCGTTCCCTAGCTAACCCCCGTGTTGCACTAAGGCACTTTGCTTTCCAAAACCAGAACATACAACATGGTCTCTGTCCCTCTATTTGCTTGCATCTTTCCCAAGTACTTCAAGCAATCATTAAGAAGTTTCTCTGGCACTTGTTTAAACTTAAACTTAAATTTCTTCTCTCTGTGTCCTCTTGATCCAGCTGGGGGTATAAATCAGTTTTGCATGTTTACACACCTTTGAAATTCTGTGGATTGTTATGGTGTTCTCCTCCTCTCATCTTAGAATATTGTCCAGTCAAACTAGACATGTATAATATATTCACCTAATCTCAAATTTCCTGCTACAAAAATGATCCTTCCCCTGTGTAGTACAGTTGAGTGAGTGGTTTCCAAGAAGCAGGTATTGCCATTGCTTCAGGGCTTAACAGTATCCCTTGGGTTACTGCTACAGAGAGACAGTAGAAGTAATTTTTTTTGTTGTTAAGGAGAAATAATTAAATAGAAGTTACATCTCTTTATTGAACTAATTATGTTAAAAATAATTTATTTTCTGTAAAACAATGATTTTGGCTGTTTTCTGGTTTTCGTGCAAGTACTACTTAATATGTCACAATATGGCTTCACTAGTTGTGTCTGTGGCCAATGGTATGAGGTTCAGCAAGGCAAAATGCTGGGTCCTGCACTTGGCCACAACAGCCCCATGCAGTGCTCCAGGCCTGGGGAAGAATGGCTGGAAAGCTGTTATGGAAAAGGACATGGGGTGCTTGGAAAATTCCTTTTCCAGCTGATTTCTGAGTTGTGTAAGCTGTTAAACATCAGCTGTATTTGCTTTTTCCCCATCTGTAGGTCATTTGGATCCAGGCTTCCTTGCAAGTGATAAAACCTCGTCTGGTAATGTCCAGATCAATGAAGAAATTCATATCGCCTCTTCTGATAGCGAAGTAGAGATTGTTGGAGTTCAAGAACATGCCAGGTATGAATCCCTTTTTCTTGCTGTTAATATTTCTTTCATTTTCTCAGAATACCTGTATTTCCAAAATTAATAAAGAAAAAACATGCTGACTTACACTTCTGTAGTTACCCATCCATGACTGAGGCCCCAAAGCTAGCAAATGTTCCACTTGGTTTTATCATTCTGCTGATCATGGTGATGTCAAAATCTGTTTTCCTTCAGAACATTACCAACTTGGTAAGTATTCAGACTAAGCTTGTGATTGCTATCACATGTTAACAGTCTGAATATATGTAGTACTGAGATACTGAATATTGAGATACCAGATAATATATATGCATCAGGAATACAGATTTTAAAGGCATAGCGTGGCTATGCAAATACATAAACAAAACTATATGGGTTCTTGTTTGCTTTCAGAATATTCACTTTAAGCATTTAATCAGCTTCCAGTTTAATTAATAATTTAATACTGTCATTTTTTCAATGGCTAATGTCATAAGATAGCCTCTCTAGATTAATCATATCCTTATGAATCTTGGTTTTATTTCAAGATATGAGAGAGTTCACAGTAGATGAGAGTGAGAAAGCCAGAGGTTTCTCTCAAGCTCAGATACAAAGCTGTCCACCTGTGCTTTAGCTGTTGTTCTTGATAGGCTTTTTTTGATGTTACTTTTCATATTTAGTTTACGATCTTTCCTTGGCTTAAATTATTACATAGCAGTGGAACAAGACTGGCATTTTCACATAGTATGGAGTGTTAATTTGGTGGAATAAAAGCAATTTAAAACAGTAAATGAGAGAACTCTTTCTGAAACTAGTCTTGCTGCCTGGTGGATGCTTGAAGGCGGAACAGGGATGTGAAGGACAAGGAACAGAGTTGTTCCTCATTGTCCCTTCATTGCATTTTTCTTGAGGAAAGGAAGAAAAGGGTATGCAGGACTCAGTGTCCCGGGTCAGAAACTATGCAGTCTGGACACAATCCAGTGCTGTTGGATGGGAAAAAAGGAAATTTGAAGGTGCCAAAGGAAGAGAGATTTAGTCTTGGCTTTTAGAATAGTGAAAGTCCTTGCATGGCCAACTCATTTGAAGATACTAATTGCTTAGGAAGTAGCTGTCCTGACTGTTCACCCAGCAGACCCAGGGCTTTGTCCTAATGATAAGCAGAGTGGACTTACCTTCAATACTAGTTCAGGTAAATCTGTCTAGCACTATGTACACCTCTCTAGCACTATGTACAGCCCTCTGTTTGAGGTCCCCTATTCAAAAGCTTTCTGTGCTCCTTGCCTTGATAACATTTACCATGTACAAGGTAATGTTAGGTTAATGCAGATTTGCTGTTTAAAGTCAGTGCATGGGTTGTGCTTTCCTTTGTTCATGTAACCATCTCCCAGAAACTAGTTTTTACTGGCTCATTCAATACTCATCCATTTCAGTTGTTCAAATCCTAGTTAGAATTTTATTTCTCTTGCAGGTCTAGGCTTGCAGTTACGAAGTATTGATGGGCTTCTGACAGGGTTATCATTTGGAGAAGGTTTAGGTTTTTGATAGTATTTTTTTGCATGCTTAGTACGGTGTTTGGATTCAGTTATTTTGCTCACAGTGTTTTTCATCGTGCTCCATATTCTATGTTGTCATTGGAGTGGTGTGAGTTGTGACATCCAGAGTTTGTCCATCATTTGTGATTTTTTTCAGGTTGCTACTGGATCTGTCATCATTGGAATATTACTTGGCATCTGCTTAGGACAAGTCATGCTTTTCAGTTTGTTTAATTTTTCTCGAATAGATTTTCTTTTTTTTTAATTATGCATGTGCATAAAACAGTCTTCCTTTGATTTTTCCTGGTTCCTTCCCCCATCCTTCTTTTGGTTTCCTTTACCTGGTGTTTTCCCTTAGCTACAGATTGGAAAGCATGTTCCCAAAGCTGTGTCTGATTGAATGTTTTGCTCTTGACTGCTTGTGTGACTTGTTTGAAGACAAACACTTATTTTTGCAAGGTATCATGAGGTATTTTATAGCTTGCTTTTTATCATATTCAGGGAGAAAAGTTAGTATTAGGTTTGTCTAAGCATTGTAAGCATTGAGGACTGTTCTGAATGGGAATGGTGGACCACAGTCCCTGAGACCAAACATTGTGTTTAATTTGCTTTGGCTACAAGCTTTTCTTGTCAGTTATGCTTAAAAATACTTCTTCTTAGAAGAAAGCTTTAAAAAAAAAATTCCTTCATTTGTTAGAGTTCCAGTCCCTTATTACAAATTCTTTGTAGATATGTACTGTAAGCATGTAATTTTACGACTGAAGATGTAATAAAAAAGTCATTCTGAAGATCACATCAAAACTAAATAGCGTATTTGAGAAGGAAATGAGACATTTATAGTCAGAGAAGCTAGAGCTCAGAATGAGATTTTTCATTCTATTTCATGAAACTCTAACCGGAGCCAAGAGAGATGAGCATAACTGAAGTAAATCTGAAGAAAATAAATTGCAGTACTTTTAAGTTAAAACAAATAAAATGTAAATGTCAGGGTTATTTGCCCAGTGCAGAAAGACTGGCTTCCTGAAATATACAGTACACATGATTCACAAAGAGAAGGGAAAAGGTTACTCCAGCAGCCAAACATCTCCTACTTACGTATGCAGCCAGGAGCAGCTACAGCCACCATCAGTGCTTACAAGAGCAAAATGACTTTTGGAGCACCAGGTTTAAAGTTTTACTAGCCTTTGTTTTAATATCTACAGCTGAAAGTGGGGTGATGATCTTAAAGGCTCCAGTAAATTCTTACCACTTCATCATATAATAAAATTGGTTGATCTTTCTTTTTTTTCTCCATCTAATTATTATTAGCTTGTACTTCAATTGTCACTATCTATTATGAATAGGTAAAAATACTGTGCAAATAAGTAGGTATGAACCTCACTCAGCAGAGCACTTTAATGTGTGCAATAATTTAGTGTCTTTGACTCTAATCACTGAAAGCTTAAATGTTTTGCTGAAGTGGGGCTGTGCTCATTATCAGTGAGCCTTTCCCAGCATGTTTGTAATCTTCAGTTAAGAAGACCAAAGGAAAGAATCAAATGTAATGGCTATAGTAATGTAATTACAAGAGCTCTTTTGTAATTATTGTAATGAAAGTATCATTATGTCCTTATTTTAAGAGGGGTTTGATTTCATATAGAAAAATAGCTTTTATCAAGCCCCACTTAAATTTTTTTTCTTCTTTTTAAAAGTCCAGTGGGTGAAACTGCTATCAGGGAGCCATGCTTCTGGATAATGTGTGGTGCTACACGATGGGGCAGATCTCCTCAAGTTCCTTGGGTTTCATTAACATATTTTATGAGGAATATCTCATACAGCCACTGGTAGAATTCAGTTCTTAATAATTTAATCCCCACCCACCCCCAGGTTTAAGTTCAGTCTCAGCTTTGCATACTGGGTACTTAACATGTCATGGACTCTACCAATGCACACTCCACAAGAAGAGTTTGGAGAGGGATATGTTAACAAGATGTCTAAGTGATGAAACACTCCAGATAAGAATCTTGTGCCTGAATCAATTTGTAGCTGTAATCCTTTGTGCTTTTTGCCTACCTGCAGGTGTGTGCATCCCAGGAGAGGCGTGATTCAGAGTGTGTCTTCGTGGAAGCATGGCTCAGGCTCACAGTATATTAACACTCAGCAAACGCAATCATGGACAGCTGTGACTCCCCAGCAGAATTGGTCTTCGCCCCCTGAAGTAGTAGACCTCACTTTGGATGAGGATACCAGACGCAAATATCTACTGTAATTCAGTGTCACCATGTTTCTGTCCCCACCCCTTCTCCCCTTTATGACATAGGAATTCATTGTTAAAGCTTCAGCTTCAGAAGCCCTGCTTCTGGCATTGAAAAATCCAAACTCATGAAAACTTCACACAAATGTAGTATAATTTCAATATAATTTAAAATGGTTTCACCTTCTCCAAGGAGGATTCCTCCCAGAATTAAAACCAAATAGCACCAAATTTAAAACACAGCTACAGTACTAATGTGTGTGTGTTAAGATTAAGAAATAACTGTGTGCAAACTTAAATCCTCCCACCTTTTCCTACCTACAGCATTAGAATATTTTTCATTTATCAGTATATCGAGATTTTATTTTTTTTTGTTAGAAGTTAGTGTTTTGCTTTGTGAGCATCAGTGATTTTGAGACATGCTGTGTGTTCTCACTGATTTTAGTGGAATTGGGGGTATTCAACACTTGCAAAAACTGGGCCAAGAGTATTCACACCTAAGCTGATTTGGTGTATACCAGCAGGAGGGACTGTCTTTAATACAAACGGCCCATAACATATGCACTGAACAGCTTTTAAAGGACTTTTATTTTGAATAATTTTTCCGTTTACACTCTTTCCAGTGCTGTCTTCTGTCTACTTGACTACTGTGTTTCGCTGATCATTTCCCACTGCTTATTATGATTTAAAATAGTAATAGTAGTGATTTAGTAGCAGCTGATTATTGCAAAAGCATAGGAAAAAGTAATAAAAAGGCCCAGCATCTGTCTCCATTTTAAATATAGCTGAACTTTTCTACCTGTATCTGGGTCTTGCCTGGAGTAGGAGAAGGGGAGAAATTAAACATTTCACTCATAGGTATCATTTCTGTTGTTGTTTATTTGCTTCATTGAGCAACAAAATTCCAAAGCCCCAGGCTGGCAAAGCACTTTAGCAGCTGAAACTGTGGGGCCATTTAAGTGCTTAAAACCCTGCCGTAAGCGATCTTGCAGGATCAGAGCCTGAGGTTGGGATCTTTGTTTTGGGTAATTTTGGGTTTGTTTTTTTTTTTTGGTAAACCCGTATATCTGCACCATTTTCCTGGCTCTGGGCCATGTCTCTTATCCTAGCTTTGGGATTGTTTTGGGGGTGTGATCCAGGATCCACTTGTCCACCAGAATACTGACTGAATTCAGTGTAACTACTTCCTTGAGTGGGCTGTGTGTATGGGAATTCCCGCCCCTCATCTGTCATTCTGAGCCTTTCTCAAGGCAAAAACCAAAGATTAGACTATAACAAGATGACATTCACTTTAAAGACTACTGTGCAATTAAAATGTTCCTTTGTATTCCAAATGTTCCTAGGGGGAATTTTGTACAGCTCTATCCTTGGATTATATTTTTTCTTTTTGCTGTTAAGGTGGTAGTCAGGACATAGGAAGTTGTGATTTTCTTTTTGTGTTGGCTGGTTTCTGAATTTACTTGACTTCCAATAATTGTATCTATAGGAAAGAAAATTAAATAAGGTTGCCTATTTTTCACATAGAGAAACAAAAATACCCCTGTATTGTTAGTAACAAAGAGCTTTTTCTTTAATAAGCAGAACAGCTGTGACTGCACTTTAAAGAGCAACTAGATTAAGGGATTGTTATTCTAATTTCAAGCTTTCTAAGGCATTGAACATAAGTGAATTGCATGGCCAGAAAATTGTGTGCTGTGTTTCTAGTGGCCAATGTCTTCTTCTGGGGATGAGAGGGAGGGAAGCAGCGGTGCCTGGATGGAGCCCATGAGGGAAGAGCCCTGTACGACTGGGGCACTGCATTGGTTAGGGGCTGTCCATCTTTTCTGCTCATGTTGTAGCCAAGCGGCTGTTTTTAGCACACATGCTGTAAAGGTAACTTCGGAACTGTGACTCGGTGTTGCTGCTTCTTCCTGTTTCACAAAGCCTTTTGAAGATGAGTTCTGACGAAAGCTGCAGGGACCCATTTGTAGTCCTCCCATGGAAAATGCAAACTAACTCCCTTGTTTTTCAGTTTGTATATGATGTGACTTCCATGTATATATATATATATAAAAATTACTGTGTCCTAACCAAACTTCCTCCAATTGTGCACTGTGTTAGTTTAAACAATTCATGTATTGTAGTCTGATGCAGGTTTTCTTTTATTTAAAACACTACATGATTTTCTCTTGTTCTTAACAGATTTGAAAGGGTAGAGATCTGAAAACTGCAATCACTGGATAGCTGCAAAGTGGGTTTGTTTTCTTGTTGTTTTGTTTATTATTTCTTAAGAGAGCAAAGGGTGCCTGGACGCTTTTGCTCTTCTCAGCAGGAAAGAGAAGTGTTAGCCATTGTATGGCTGCGAACCAGTGCACTTGAGGGCTGATCCCATTGGAGCTGATGTTTTCCATTGATTTCAGTGTGCATTGGCTCAAGCCCTTCATGGCTTAGCAGTTCCTGAAATTGCTGGAGTGTGAACTTGGAATCTTCTATAGTGAAGACAAATCATTGCTTAGGATATAAATATTTAAAATGTGCAACTCTTATTAAAAGATCTGATTCTTCTCGACACTCATTATTTAGTTCTCATTTTCCATCTAGTATTTAATGGTCTTTGGAGAAAAAAAAAATAAAACAGAGTGTTATATATATAAATATATATATTTTTGGTGCAAGATGAGACCTTCTGTTTTTTGCAACAAGTCTGTAGCATAAAGGTTAAACTATTTTAAAACAAAATAAAGTGTATTATTTAAACAATATCTATTTGCTTGTTGTTTTTTTTTTTGGTCCACTTTCATTAAATATGCTGCTGTTTGTCACATCTCCAAAATTCAGCCTTAAGCTCTGGCAGTGTTACACTTGGATTTTCTCACACAGCCGTATAGTGCTGTGGCTCAGATCTACTTGACATGGGAAATGAATGTGTAGACCTGCTATGAAGCTCTGGGCAGGTCCTCACAGACCATGAGAGACGTGGTGTCAGGGTAACAGTCTGGAGAATCACTGAGTTATGCTGGGGAATTTACAGCCACAAGCGAAGAGAAGGATGGTGAGTGTAACTGTGCTAAATTTGGGGTCCTGCTGCCTGAGTGGCCTCTCAGAGCTAATACGGAAATAATAGTAGTAGTAGTAATAGTAGTAATAACATGAATTGAGAGACCCTGAGGAGAAGGACTTGGGGGTCTTGGTCACTGAGGAGCTCCCTATGACCCAGTTTCAGTGTGCACTTGAGCCCAAACCCCCCCATGTGTTGGGCTGCATCCCCAGAGCATGAGCAGCAGGTTGAGGGAGGGAATTCTCCACCTCTCTGCACTCTGGGGAGAGCCCCCCTTGCAGTCCTGGTGCAGCTCTGAGGGAGCAGCAGCACAAGAGGAATGTGGAGCTGCTGGAGCAAGTCCAGAGGAGGCCATGGAGATGCTGTAAGGGCTGGAGCAGCTCTGCTCTGGAGCCAGGCTGAGAGAGCTGGGCTGGGGCAGCCTGGAGAAGAGAAGGCTCCTGAAGGGGAGACCTTAGAGCAGCTCCAGTGCCTAAAGGGGCTACAGGAAACCTGGAGGGGGGCTTTGGACAAGGGCCTTTACCACTCCAACCCAGTGCGTGATTCTGTGATAATAAAGATCCTTTACACTTCTAATTGAAAAGGGGAGTTCACTTTAGTTCTGATGGTTTTTTATCGCGAGAAGACTCTCAGTGGTGCCAATAAGGAGAACTGTTTATCAACATATTTTAAATGTCAAGATGGATGATGAGAATGAAGTGTTGGCTTTTCAGCTCCAGTGAGTTCCTGGTTCTCATGAAGCTTGAAAATACAAATTCTGGGTCTGGCCATGGAGGTGGACCCCAAGCTCAGATGTTATTTCACATCTATCACCAGCTGAGGGAGAGCAGCAGTGTGGAATTTGGTTCATGTGTAAGAGGAGAGCTGATGTATCTCCTGAATCTTTTCTTCCTCCACCACCAAGAGACACTCAGTCTTTAGACTTCAGGATGTACTGAATGGAAAGCTTAACATTCCTCCTGTGGCATTCAACACATCCCTCTGTCTTTCCCCTGTGAAGTCATTGCAATGCAAGTTAAAGGCTGCAAATTCAGTTTGTCTGCCTCAGAATAGGGACAGGAAGGGTTTGACTAAGTGCATTAGTTCCCCAGTTCCATGGAGAACCTGTCTCTGGTGCCCTTTGCTGCGTGCATCACCTCCATTTCCTGAAGTGCTGCTTGGTTGTGCCTCTTCTTTTCAGGGCTGTCATCTGTGAACATTGGTGCTGTGGCCCTCTCCTTAGCATCACAGGGATGCAGTTTCCTTTCTGCCTGTGAAGGAGAGGAGCAGCACACCTGCAAAGTGCAAACTTGAGATGAGCCCCACATTTACTTTCATCTTAGAATCTTAGAGTCATAGAATCATAGGATCATAGAATCACAGAATAGCTAAGAGTTGGAAAGGACCTAAAGATCATCTAGTTCCAACCCCCCTGCCATGGACAGGGACACCTCACACTAAACCATGTCACCCAAGGCTCTGTCCAACCTGGCCTTGAACACCACCAGGGATGGAGCATTCACAACTTCTTTGGGCAACCCATTCCAGTGCCTCACCACCCTCTCAGTAAAGAACTTCTTCCTTATATCCAATCTAAACTTCCCTGTTTAAGTTTTAACTCATTACCCCTTGTCCTGTCACTACCTAATGAAGAGTCCCGCCCCAGCATCCTTATAGCCCCCCTTCAGATCTTCAGTGCAAATGAGGCGAATGCCATCTTTTTATGGAGATTAAACAGCAGATGAGGATCCAACCAGCCCCGTCCGTGTCCCACCCCCCCCCCCTCCCGGGTCTATAACTTGATACCGGGAAGTGTATGAAAACTAAATGTGTTCCTGAGAGTCCTTATGACTGCTGATTCATAAATGCCCATTGTAAGCTTTCTCTTGGGGTTGGTTAGTCACCTGGATTTGCAATTCAGTTTGAAATCAGAATGGAGAGCCAGCTACTGAGGAGACAGTGAATCTTGGGGCCAAGCTGTATTGGGCAGGCTAAAACTGCCTGAAAGTTGAATTTCAGTTAGTTTCTACATTTACAAGCTGCAGCTTTGGGTGAATCCAGAGCAACCACATCAGAGCTGGAAAATGGAACAAGCGAGACTTCCCTGTCCGATTCATTTTCCATTGCTGTAGGTGATGCAGATTGAATGCAGAACTCCTGGAGTCCAACTGGTGCCTTTTCAAGGGGGGTTCCTACATATGCAAAACACCATCTCATACACAGTGAGGATCACACTGGCTTTGTCCATGGCTTCACACCACTGACAGCTTTTGGCTGGCCCATGATCAAGGACTTCCACATTTCCTTCCATGTATGCCTACCTTAAACTTGGCATTGCTGAACTCCAATGTCCTGTCCATCACTCCAGCCTATCTGACTTCATCCACATCCTCCAGTACTGACAGCACTGTTGCATAGCTATGTGTGATCAGCGGGTTTGAGTACAAGTTTCCAACTCTATCAGCCAAAGTCACCCATAAAAACAGTGATTTTCCATTGCTTCCCTGGAAATGCATCTTTCCTAATGTTACCACCAGCATCCTAAAAAAACACCCAATTTTCCCCCATCATTACCGCCTGTGGATTCGGCATCACCGACCTCCATTTGAGGCTACCATTTCGGAGCAGGGCAAATTCAGATCCCCCCCTCTGTGACTGTGGATACAAAGGAGATGTTTGTCCATGGTGGTGTGAGTTGGTAGTGATTCTGTAAATCCAAAGATGAACTTCCAAGTCAGAGGTGGTTGAGCTGGAATGAAGCTTTTAAGATCCTAATGGGAAATGTGTTGTGTATTCTCACTCACAGCTCATCCTGCCTGGCACAGGGTATGACAGAGACTCAGGAGAGGATAATTTTCTTGGTTTTCTACATGATTACACTTTGCATTCAGGTCCATTTATCCACACTCTCCCTGGACCATATGTGACAAATGAAAATACCAGTCATTATAAATCACTGTAACGTGTTACAGCTCTGATAGGATCCATCATTACAAAGAGCCACAGAAAAGCTCTACACAACACAGCAATGGGCTGGACACCACCTCCTTGGCTGGGCTTCCCTTGGCCAGCAGCACATCCTTGAGAGGAGGAGACCTCCTGCTCATCTCTATACTGCTCAGGGCAGCAAGAGGGAAGGACATCCTGAGAACGTTGTTTTGCATTTACTTAAAGCAGTGATATGGGTTAATTAATAGATTTGAGCAGAGTGGTGGTTCTGAGAACATTTGGGGTTGGCTCTTGAAGGGGAGGACTGCACTTGCTCAGCTTTACACTTCCACTGCCTGAGAGCAGGGAATGATGGAGGTGTCCTCACAACCCAGGTACCAATGAGGATGTGTCCTGTGGGAATGGGATGTCATCAAAGGCAGCTGGTGGGCGACTCCTTAACTGCTCCACAGTTTTTCCTCTTGCTTCTGGAGAGATTCCAGCCCCTGGGCAGAAGGGTTCAAGGTCAGGTTGAATGGAACTTGGAGTAACGCATCTACTGGAAGGTGTCCCTGCCCATGGCAGGGGGTTGGAACTGGATGAGCTTTACAATCCCTTCAACCCAAACCAGTCTGCGATTCTATGATTCTAGGAGATTATCCAGACAAAACCCTGATGGACAATCATATGTGGGAGCACCAGCTGGTCAGATAAAGGGACACCCCTATATCTATTCTTTGTCCAACCAGCCTACCAAATACCTCTCATTTAAAGTCCCTGAGATGATGAAAAATCCAATTGCTTGGAGTCACTGTGTGTCCACAGACCACATCTGGCCTGGGAAAAAGCCAGCTGTGGGAGCCAGGAGCATGTAGGTGAAGCAGTATATATAGGGTACAACTTCAGCAGGTACTCAGGGCAAGGCACAGGTCTGCTCTAACAACCCAGGATGTACTGAATAACCTGACACTCAACCCATCCCTTAACTCCTAACACAATCTTGTGGCTTTTTGGTGTCTGTGGCTCTGGGGAGGTGTGAAGCTGCTCAAATGATCATGCATTACTTAGGCTGGAGCAAGTAAGCAGATGCCTTCCCTTAAATAATTGAAGACTGGGTGTTTACCTGTGCTGCTGTACTCATTTGCCATGGGTGTGTTATAGATGTGTTCAGTGAGCATCAGACAGTCTCAGTAGAGCTCTTGGACTTCTCTTTTGCAATCAACCCATGCCACCACCTCTGACCGTAACAGATGATGCCTGGGACGGGATTAAGGGACCAGAGAGCTGGGTGCTGCCCCTTGCTTGCTGCAGGGAGGTCTAAACCTGGTTTCAGTATCATTTATTCAGTTGGGTTTTACTTTCTATTTTCTTTTGCCCAAGGAAGTTGTGAATGCGCCATCCCTGGCTGTGTTCAAGGCCAGGTTGGGCAGAGCCTTGGGTGACATGGTTTAGTGTGAGGTGTCCCTGCCCATGGCAGGGGGTTTGGAACTAGATGATCTTAAGGTCCTTTCCAACCCTAACTATTCTATGGTTCTATGATTCTCCATCCTATTTGCACCGGTCAGGATGGGTTCCCATGAGGTCTGAAGACCCCTGTCCCCTGCAGAGGTGGGGAGATGGGAGCAAGTGGCCTTTTGGGTGACCCAGAGCAGACTCAAGCCATGGGAAGACGATAGCAGGAAGGTGAAGAGCAGGCTGGAGGTGTAGGTCACACAGAGCAGAAGACAAAACAGTGAGTACAGCCTAATGAAGAGATGGATAACTTCAACAGGCAGCTCACAGCATGTCTCAGACAAGACTTGGCGAATTAAAAATGCTGTTGAGTTCATCTCCTTCATTGCAAAAGGAGGATGGAGAACTGTGTTGGTCAGGTTAGATGGGGCTTGGAGCAACATGGTCTAGTGGAAGGTGTTCCTGCCCGTGACAGGGACTTGAAACTGGATGAGCTTTAAGGTTCCTTCCAATATAAACCACTTCGTGATTTTGTGATTCTATGAGCCCCTGGCACATCCCTGACCTTCCTCACACCTCCTAACACTGTTTAAGGACCTTTTCTGTGGCTGGGATGCTGCTAAAATGTTGTCTCAGGTGGCTAAAACCCCCTCGCACTTGGAGGTGTTGAACCACTGCTTCTTTGCACAGTCTTTTCTTCCTCCATCTGCTTCTCAAGAGGAAGAATTAGGGCCATTATTAATGCAGTCCCACCTGGGGATGGCACAAGGCAGGGAGCATGATTTCCACCAGACTCCAGAAATAACTCTTCCACAGCCAAGTAAGTGATGTTTTAATGCTTTATACCCTGCTAAACAACAGCATCACATGACATAGCCAAGGTTTTGGACAGGTGATACTGAGCTCCCCCATCCTTTGATGGTCAGTGTGAAGTCTCCCCCTGGACCGGCACCCCCAGCTTGTGCAGGTCTATAGAAAATCTCCAGAATGCTCAGAAAAGTTCTTAAAAATGCTTCAAAATCAGCTTTTCACCTAAATCCCTTTCCCTATACCCAAGGGAGGAATCCTCTCAATTCCTGAGCAAGACCCGCTCCCAGCCCCATGGAAAGGCTGTGGGGTGGGCATGAGGGTGAAATTGAGGGCTCTCAGAAGCACCCAGCCTGCAAAAGACCAGGTAATACTGGTCATTCCTAACACAAGCTGGCCACTGACGGGTAGCTCGAAGGCCGGGCTGGAAGCTGCCCTTGGGAAGGCACTAGATGGCACCAGAGCCAGAGGATACGGACTCCGGGCTGTCATCGCAAACCTCGTTGTATCCCTCGGAGTGGGGAAAAGTGTCTCAAAACTGGCAAAAAGGCTTTGGGATGTGACAAGAACAGATGGTTTCTGTTCTCCCAACCATGATGGACTCAATGGGTTTGGCCGGACTCTGCACATACACCAGAATCTGTCTCATGGCAGGGAAACAGGCCCGGGAAGAGCAAAAGAAATCAATCCAATGTAAAACTGAAATTAAGATACCCAGTTGTGATTCCAAGGTAATTAACCATCAGTTAGTCCAATGGAGGGTCGCTTCTCTGGGTGTCAAGCCCAGGATCTTGGAATGTGGGCAGGGATCACTGACCTTGCCTTAGTTTTGGCTAATGCGAAGCTGCCTTGAAAGCAAGGTTTTGATTTCATAAATAAACTATCACCATGTCCTTGACTGGTGTCAGGAACTGTGGGGTGCTGCAGCAAGGATGCTGCTGAGCACGTTGTCAGGAGAGGGCCGTGGCCGCATCCCAAAGCAGGAAGCTGGTGGGATGTTGGGATGGGGAGAGCATTGAGGGATCACCAAAGGGAACGTTAAAACCCCTACTCCCCCAAAATATGGGCAGGAGAGGGAAGAAAGGATGAATTTAGGGCCCAAGGATGATGGCTGGTGTGCCATTTGTGCCCCAGAACTTCTCAAGTGCTTTGTGTCACCTTTAAATTTATTGAATATCCTCTGTGTATGCCTAGATAAGGAGGAAAACCTTCCCTGTGAGACTGGGGAGTGAGACATCCCAGTGCCTCAATGCCTGTGCTACAGCATCTCCAAATACCTACTCTATAGGAACACTGGTGGCATGTGTGACTTCCATGAGGCTGGAGAACAGCTCATGGAAGAAAAATCATAGCATCACAGAGTGGTTTGGGTTGGAAGGGACCTTACAGCTCATCCATTTCCAACCTCCTGCCACAGGCAAGGATTCCATGATGTTTTAACGAGACCTTGGGACAAAAGAGGGAGGGTGCCCCAAACTGAGTGTGCTGGGACTAAAGAAGCTGCACTGGGGGACACCAACAGGCACTGGCCATGTGGGCAGGAGGAAGCCAAGGGCTATTTTTAACATTAGCCTGTGCCTGTGGCATATGCGTGACATGCAAAGCCCTGTCCATGGATTGGGTGTCCCAGACAAGGGGGGAGTGTGTGTGTGGATGAAAAGGAACAGCCTCATGCAATACTCCTGACAACTGCTCTGGTGGAACAGGGGCCATGGAGCAGCTGCCCAGGGCAGCCGGAGCAGGAGGAGTGTCTGTCTTCAGGATGTGCTTAATACAGTGAGAGCCAGAGATCACGTCTTGGAAATCACTTCTTATCAGTGGCAGAAAGCACAGACTAGTTTGGGTTAGAAGGAGTTTTAAAGTTCATCCAGTTCCAGCCCCCTTGCATGGACAGGGACACCTTCCACTGGAGCAGCTTGCTCCAAGCCCCTGTGTCCAACCTGGCCTTGAGCACTGCCAGGGATGGGGCAGCCACAGCTTCTCTGGGCACCCTGTGCCAGCGCCTCAGCACCCTCACAGGGAAGAGCTTCTGCCTAAGAGCTCAGCTCAGTCTCCCCTCAGGCAGGTTCAAGCCATTCCCCTTGGCCTGTCCCTACAGGCCCTTGTCCCAAGCCCCTCTCCAGGTTTCCTGCAGCCCCTTTAGGCACTGGAGCTGCTCTAAGGTCCCCCAGATGGATGTAAGAGGATAGTTTTTCCATGCTGCACCACAAACAGGGCACAGGAAGCATTTCATTACAGCATGAGCATGTGTCGTGGTTTGAACCCAGACAGACAGCTTGTCCACTCACTCCCCCCCCCCCCTTCTTGCTCTCCCCCTACTCCCGGAGGGACGGAGAGGAGAATCGAAAAGAATGCAACTCCCATGGGTTGAGATAAGAACAGTTTAGTAACTAAGGTATAACACAAATCACTACTGCTGCCACCAATAATAGTAATGATAAAGGAAATAACAAGGGAAGAGAATACAACACCCCATCACCAGCCGACCGATACCTCGCCCCCCAGCCCAACCAAGCACCGACCCATACCTCCTCCAACCCTGCAGTCCCCTCTAGCCCCTTCCGGGTCCCTCCCCAGTTACATCCAGGGCATGACGTGCTGTGGTATGGAATACCTCTTTGGTCAGTTCGGGTCAGGTGTCCTGTCCCTGCTTCCTCCCAGCTTCCCTCCTCCCTGGCAGAGCATGAGGCCCACAAAGTCCTTGGCCAAACCAAAACATCATTTTTATCAGCTCTGTTCCCAGCTGAAAGTCAAAACACAGCACTGCACCAGCTACCAAGAAAGAGAAAAATGACTGCTACTGCTAAACCCAGGACAGCATGGAAAAAAGTCTCTTGGGAGACACTGAGGGGGCAAAGTAGGAGGGAAACCCAGACTGGGATGCAGTGGGGTGGGCACTGGGAGGCACTGGGAACCTGGGAGTTTCCCTGCTCCCATTTGAAAGGAAATCAGTGCAAACCCTCACCCAAAAGAGCCCTTTTGGATGGACATCATGGCATGTACAGGGTGTGCAGGAAGCTGTCCCTGCTTCTTGGGATGAAGTTAATCCTTCCCATGTTGCTAGAGCCGGTGTCTGCCCTGAGGCTGGAAGGGTTAAACAGATCCAGGGTTGCCAGTCCTCTGTTTTAATTCAGATCAGGGTTAAAAAACACAATGCACCCACAAAACAACCCCATCGACAAACCAGCACAGTAATCCAGGCCAGCAAATCCATGGCACACACGTGTAGGAGCCTGAAACCCGCCAGATGGAAGGGCTGAATAAAGCTGATCAGGGATTAAGGGGCTCCCACCGCAGGACCACGGCAAAAGCACCCCCTGGCCTGGCCAGCATGGAAAGGCCATCACAAAACGGGATTGCAGCAGGGTGAGATGTGTTCTGGAGCCTGTAGAAGGCTTCCTGCACTATGGGGTTTGTCTCACTCTATTACAATGAGTATAGTGAGCAGGGATGGGGGTCTGCTTGGTGTTTTTAGAGGGAATTGTAACTTCTGTAGGCCATGGGGGTCTTTGCTCCACCAAGGAGGGCTCTGAGCCCAGGGGGGTTCAGGATTGATGTCCCACTGGGCTCAGCTGGAGATGTTTTAAGTCAGTGATGAGCCAGCAAATGGGTTTGTTCAGAAACTGGAGTGACAACACACAGGCATGGGGATAGGAAGGGGAGGACAGGGATGGAGATGGTGATAGGATGCAGATGAAGGTGGGATGGATGCATTCATGTGCCCAAGTACGTGTGTCCATGTGTCTGTGCACATGTGCTAATGCCCATGTATGCTATGGCAGGGGGGTTGGAACTAGATGATCCTTTCGAACCCTAACTATCCTACGATTCTATGGTTCTATGATTTCTGTGCGTGTGAACACTCATGCACACATGTACCCATGTATGCATGTGCACGTACACATGTATACTGGTGGGGGCATACGAATTCGTGCACATGTGCACTTGTGTGTGCGTATGTATTCATTTGTGTAAATGGGTATTGGTGTGTGTATACACACATATGCACACGTGTACTGCTGTGTGTGTGTGAAGATACGCACCTGTGGCCGTGTATATGCACGCACACATGCACACGTGTGCTTGTGTGTGCGTACGAACACATTCACGTACTCGTGTACAGGTGCGCACACACACACGCACGCACGCCCGCACACGTGTACCGGTGCGTGTGCGCGCACACACACACACACACACACACACACACACACACACACACACACACACACACACACGCACGCACACACGCACACACATTCGCGCGCGCCGTTCACGAGTGCGTGCTCGCGCGTGCCCGCTCTACGGGGAGTGGGGGGGGGTCGAGGGGGAAGAGAAGCGGTCGCACGTGCGAACGCGCGCCCCCGAGCACCCCCCGCCCCTCTCCCCCCCCCCCAACCGCTTCAGGGCCGGTGCCCATTGGCAGGCCCGGCCCCGCGGGGGGGCGGGAGGGGGCGTGTCCCTACGTCCCAGTCCGCGCTGCGATTGGCGGCGGGAGTCTTTGTGCGCGAGCGGAGCGCGCGGGCCGCAGTTGGCGGCGGCGGCGCGTCGGAGGGTCGGTCGGAGGGGGCCGGCAGGGAGCGGGGCCGGGGCCGCGCCGCCACACAAAGGCCTCAGCATGGTCCTGGTGCACGTCGGTTACCTGGTGCTGCCCGTCTTCGGCTCCGTGCGCAACAGAGGTACCGCGGGGCCGCGGGTTCGCGTCCCGGGGCCGCTCCGCCGCGGATGGTGTGGTGGTGGTGGTGGTGTTGGTGGTGGTGGTGGTGGTGGTGGGGAGGGGATGTATGTGTTTGTGTCGTGGGGTGGTGCGGGTGTGTGGTTCCGTATTCCCGGGCTGGAGAAAGGGTGCCCCCCCCCAACCCCGGTCAGCGCAGTCCCAGCAGTGCCCATTTTGGGATGCCGCCTCACACCCCCCCCGGGTGTCCCCATCTCCCGCCTGCACCTCCAGTCTGTGCTTCAGTAGGTCCATTTTCCTTTGCTTTTGTTTCTTTTTTATTTTAACTTTCTTTTAAGTTTTACTTTACTATTTGGTTTACCCCCTCCCCGTCTCGCCGTGTAGCGTAGCCACCAGCCCATCTCAGCATAGCTGTAGACGATAACAGCCATTTTTGTACCTTCATCCTGTTTAGCTGAGTACATTGCACTGTAAATTCCTGTTAAGTGGTTTCATTTTGCCGTGGTCGCTGGGCGCAAAGTTCCTTTAGAGGGGGGTGACCCAAAAGCTCCCAAATTGTGGCCAAAACCTTCCCCAAAAACGTGGACTGAGGAGGGGAAATCATAGAGATTTGGGTTGGAAAAGACCTTAAGATCACCAGTTCCAACCTCCTGCCGTGGGAAATCGGGCAAGGAAACGCAAAATCTGGTTGAATTCTGAAAATAAAATTGGAAAACTGTATGAAAGAAATATATGGGATGAAACGGGGTAAAATCCCCCCCCGAAGCTGCTGGGGGGTAACTCCAGAAGGGGTGCAGCATCCCTGTCCCCATCGGGGGTGATGGCCAGTCACCCCATCTCCATCCCACCCGCCACAAGTGTCCCGTCCCTTCCACCCCCTTCTCCCCCCTCCTCCCCTGCCCATAAAATCTCATAAAGAGATGCCTGGCAAAATGGGCTTCCATTAAACAGGGATAACATTTTTTTCTGCTGTGCTAAATTACTTCCTGTTCTTATTTTGTGGGTAATTTTCTGTATCGAATATCCTTTGGTTGTGTATTCTTCACCTTTTTTCTTGTACTAAAACTTAAAGCATGGTCTGTATTTTTTTACATTACCTAGTTTTCTGATGTAAATCTCTCTGTAGAGACATACCCTGCTGAAATGTAATGTGCTGTAGCCTATACATCTGCTCAGTGTACGCTGCTTTTGTTCTGTTGCCCTTCCATAGCATGGTGGGCCTTGCCTTTTTTGTATTGTGTGCATGATGACATTGTTACACATGATTCCACTAATACTAATATACGATCTCTCAATAAAGAAACTAGTTTTCCTATATTAACCTAGTGTGCTTTTTCTATTGCTGTTTTCCCATTTATTGTTGTATCCTGCTGTTTAGATTTTTTCCCTTGCTTTTCTCCCCATCATGAGGTTTAAGTGAGTGGAATTTTTCCTCCCCGTAGCACAGATGTGGGGGCTTCTTAATACATTTTATTTTTCATTGTTCTCCTATCCCATATCTACCCTCAGCATTAGCCTCTGTGTTCATGCTTTCCAGGCGCACAGCCCGCATTACCGTTGTGCCTATGCAGAGTTCTGTTTTACTGCAGAATAGCCTAAAATATAAGCCCAAACCCTCGTTATCAATCAGAATTTGCCATTTGATGAAGGGTCTGCGGCTTATCTCATTCTACTTACAACATTACACATTCCTTATGAATCTGATGTCAAAATGAGATGATCTTCAGATGGATGGGGGGAATAATAATAATACTGTTGTTATTATTATTATTTGAACTCTGATTAACAGGAGGTAAATGAACCTGGGGAAAAAAGATAACGATCCTGCTAATCTGTTAGCTGTATATTTCAACATATGTGCGAGTGCCCTGCCCACCATCTGCTAGGAGAGAAGTTGCAGTGCCTTGGTCCCGTGGTGGCTGGCATGCTGTAAATATCTTCAGTAGACCCCCGTGAGGCTCGTAAAACCACCCCAGCTGCTAATGTCGTAGCTACATGTTCCTCCCTGATGCCTCCAGACCCACCATCTCCTGAATAACCCCATTCGGGTGAATAGAGATAACTATATATTGGGGAAAAAGTCACCGGGAGGCTTAAAACGTGGGAAGCAGGGAGGGATGGGCAACGTAACAGCAGCCAGCGAGCGGTTTTGCTGCAGCTGAAACACAATGATAATCCCAGTCACATCTCCCTGTCCCTGCGCCAGATCTCCCCATCCCGGGTCTGCAAAAGGGTCCTGTAAAACCTCCCAGTTTTGGCTTGGATGTAGCAAGAAACCTAGGGAAGTCAGAGGAGATGGGGCTGGGAGGGGGGAGGAGAGGGAGCATCTTAATAGCATCTCTGCAAAAGTTGGTGGGAGACACTGGGTGGGTTCTTTGCCTTTAAGCGAGAGGAGCACAAATGCAGTAGGTCGGTGGTTGTTCCCACCGCAAAATTGTCAAGAAACAAAACAAAAACGAGTGTCTCCAGCAACTCCCACCCCAGCACCCGTCCAAGAAATGCTTCATTTTTGCAAGGCCGTGCCTTCCCACGCCGCTTTATCCTCAGTTTGGTTCATTGGTTTATTTTAGCTTTAAAAACATCTATTTATAATTTCCTCCTTCATGCTTCCTTCTCCATGTATCTCAATGACTGTTTGGCCACTATCCTATCGTGTCCCCCGCCTCCCCACCCAATCCCCTGTATGAGCACAAGCAGGTTGCTCTCTGTGGATGTAGTAGTGTATGCTGTGGCCCTTTGTTCTTGCTCCATCCTTGCCCCGGGGCCAGTGCTGAGCTCCGTGTCCCCGTAGCATCCCGAGGAGGGAAGCTGTGCTTCTCGCTTGCATGAAGGGAGACGTGCATGCCTTTTGGGGCTGATCATTTCCAATGTGATCTTTTCATTATTTTTATTCCTTTTTATTATTTTAATTTTTGAATTCACACACCCCCCCCAATCATGTCAGACAATGAGATTCTGCATGTTAAAAGATGAATCCCAACCCCCAAAACCCTACCCCAAACCCCCGACATGGATAAACCCATTCCCTTCCGAAGTGTTCCTCGTGATACGGACACCTGCCAGCAGCTGCCCCTTTGTTTGGAGTGGTGGATTCACTGCAGTGAGCCTCATAACCCCCGTTCCAGATCCTACCCTGCAAATTAGCGCCGATACAGCACAGAACTGTTTGGTCAATACACTCTGAGGATACCTCGGTAATCTAATAATGCAGGAAGCTGCTGGGTTAATGGCAACTCGTACTACAATTTATCATCCACATCATATTTTGACCTGTCTTGTTAGAAACTCATTCGTACAAGAGGAAACATTTCCCCCACCGCTGCCACCCCACCTCCACCTCCCAGACTTATTAGTCAGTAACCACTAGGCTTTCATAGCTCATAATCCATCAAATGCATCCACATTTAATGGCTTAATTCCTTTGACGCTTCTGAGTCTTGGAAAGCCAGCTGGTACAAAGAAAATAATCTTTCTTTCAATTTTAGCATCGTAGGCTGAGGAAATCCAGGGCAAGTCGTGTGCTGGTGGTGCTGCTGTGGGTGTGCAGTGTCTTCTATAGAGCCTATACATCTCTGCAGCACCAACCTGTATTCCTGTGTTCCTTTAAATAACTTCTTTTGGTAACAGGGAGATGGTTAACTCCAAACACAGACAAAACAGGCTCTGAGATTCATTGATGTAAGGGTTGTGTAAAGGGCTTGCACACATCTGTGTGCATTTAATGGTGACAAATGGGAGCTGGACCAACTTGTCCCTCTTACAAGGGTCTTGGGGTGGTGTCACGATTTCCATTGTTTTTAAGGAAAAGATTAACAAATAGTGGCTACATTTTGCTCATGCTGTAATTACCAGCAAAGTTCTAATGAAAGCTGATCTGGATTTACCGTGCTGCATGCAGATCTGGCCCCGTGGAAGTGTGTTGTTTAAGAATTGGTGAGTTGGTGGCCAAGTAAGGAAGCAAATGAAACTAGGAGAGGGTTTGGGGGGATTTTGCTGCAGAATCTGGGAGGTGTTCCAGTTGTGGGGGGACATAAGGTGGTGGGGGCTTGGCAGGGACACATTTCAACACTATTCAGTGTATCCTGGACAGGGTATGGGGTACCAAAGCGGGGTGCGAGACCCATAGGCACCATGGTGGTGCAATAACCATCTCGGTGATTTCTGAGTCCCTCTCTGTGAACCTGCTGGAAGGACTGCCCTAGAGTAAGTCTGAGCTTCCTTTGTTGTTGCTTTAAAACACGGTTGTAATTTTGGGAGCACTTCATTAGTTGAAAAGGGGAGGATGGAGCAGTGTAGGAGCCCTGTTCTCCCGAACTGTAGGAGAAACCTCTTCAAATGCCATGGGGACCATGTGTGACATCCAAGACTGGCTCACCCCTTTCCGCTGACCAGATGGATGATGGTCACAACTCCTAGAGGTGCAAGGGTGGAAGGAGAGGGAAGGGTGACTGTGGGGCATGATTATGGGTAGTGAGGGCACGGATATCTCCTCCAGGCCTTATATATGCTGGTTTGAGTTTCCAACTCAACTGGAAGGTCTTTAGAGATGTTCAAAAGGGAACATGTGCTGCAGCGGGTCAGTCAAGAAAACCCTTTCCCACCCGTAACCTGGGAGCACTAGTTTTGGGAAGCACTAAACAAATGTGCCAGAAATGCAAGGGGAGACATCGCAAAAGACCTTCTACACCTAGATCATCTTCAATATCCACAACCTCCAAGACCAGACAGTTGGTTTGGCAACTGGGAGGGTTGTGATGGCATCATGACTTTTGGCCATCTCACGGTATTTGGGTGTTTCTTCATCAACCTGCAGCTGCTGGAGTCAGGCAGTAGCGCAATGCTTTTTGATTAAAGGGTTGTATATAAAATAGAACTTCAAGTTGCTGCTTATGGCAAACTTGGTTCTCAAAACTGAGGAGTCAGTGACAACACACAGGAGGATTTCAGCCAGTGCAGTGGTTTGGGAAGGAAAAGGGTTATGTATGGCTATGGTGGGATCAGAGC